TATATATATATACAATGAACTAATACTCAGCCATAAAAAAGAATAAAATTTTGCCATCTGCAACAACATGGATGGACTTGTGGGGTATTATGCTAAGTGAAATAAGTCAGAGAAAGACAAATACAGTATGATATGATATGTAAAAATCTAAAAAATACAACAAATTAGTGAATATAACAAAACTCACAGATATAGAGAATAAACTAGTGGTTACCAGTGGGGAGAGGGAAGGGGGAGGGGCAAATAAGGGCATGGGACTAAGAGGTACAAACTCTTAGGTTTAAAATGAGCTACAAGGATATATGGTACAACACACGGAATAGAGCCAATATTTTATAGTAACTATAAATGGAATACAACCTTTAAAAACTGAATCACTACATTGTACAACTGTAACATATAACATTGTACATCAACTACACTTCAATTTAAAATAAAAGAGTACATGGTGTTCTTTGTACTAGTCTAGCAAATTTACTGCTTTAAAATTTTTTTTTTTTTTTTTTGCAGTACGCGGGCCTCTCACTGTCGTGGCCTCTCCTGTTGCGGAGCACAGGCTCTGGACGCGCAGGCTCAGCGGCCATGGCTCACGGGCCCAGCCGCTCCACGGCACGTGGGATCTTCCTGGACCAGGGCACGAACCCGCATCCCCTGCATGGCAGGCGGACTCTCAACCACTGCGCCACCAGGGAAGCCCTGCTTTAAAATTTATCAAAATAAAGTTGGAGAGGAAAGTAACATGTGTTTTTAAAAGGTTGAAAACCAATGGGACTATTTTCCCAAAGACATTACATTTAGATAGGAATCCTTCAAAATCATGAACACTCCATCCAAATCAAATATCACTGGAGCACTTTTGGTGCTGTTTCTCACGAGGCTGTGGATGAGAGTGCTCCAGGGCTGTGGAGGCTGTTTTGTTGAATATTTTTAAGGCTATGTGACCTGAGACACATACCTTAAGCTGCTAGAAGTAGTGTTTCAAAGCGAGTAGCCATGTGGGAAATGACAGGGGTTGAGTTAAGCTACTTTGTGGTTTGTGAGAAAATTTAGACCAAAAAGAAATCTGCCAATTAAAATATTTACAGGGCGGGCCTCCCTGGTGGCGCAGTGGTTGAGAGTCCGCCTGCCGATGCAGGGGATACGGGTTCGTGCCCCGGTCTGGGAGGATCCCACATGCCGCGGAGCGGCTGGGCCCGTGAGCCATGGCCGCTGAGCTTGCACATCCGGCAACGGGAAAGGCCACGACAGTGAGAGGCCCACATATCGCAAAAAAAAAAAAAAAAAAAAAAAAATTTACAGGGCATGGTAGGGGCAAAGACTACAAGTCCAAAAGAAAAAGGACAAAACAGTTTCTACTTTGTATCTACATTGTTTTTATCCATCCATTAATTCATTGCATGTGTATGTGTGTGTGTACATATACAAACAGAATGATGAAATAAATTCATGATGCAAGTTATAGTATGCAGCTGACCAATCATCAAAAGTAATTTCTTACCTAGTAGTTCTCCTGCAGTGGTCTGAAATAGAATCTTCCATGCTATGGATAAGAATCGTTTTTTGTTGTTGTTGTTCTTGTTGTTTTTAAATTTTGCTTTACTTTAGTGCTGAGCAACTTTACTTTAGGATTTTAGCTGATGGAGCTAATTTTACTGTTTTTTTTAAAATTTATTTATTTTATTTCTTTTTATTTTTTGCAGTGTTGGGTCTTTGTTGCCGTGCGCAGGCTTTCCCTAGTTGCGTCAAGCGGGGGCTACTCTTCGTTGCAGTGCACGGGCTTCTCATTGCGGCAGCCTCTCTTGTTGCAGAGCATGGGCTCTAGGCATGCAAGCCTCAATAGTTGGGGCGCACGGGCTCAGTAGTTGTGGCACACGGGTTTAGGTGCTCCACGGCATGTGAGATCTTCCTGGACCAGGGCTCGAACCCATGTCCCCTGCATTGGCAGGCGGATTCCCAACCACTGCGCCACCAGGGAAGCCCTAATATTACTGTTACAATGATTATCTAAATGTTTACTGTTTACTAAATGTTTACTGTTTACTGTTCACTGTTTACTAAAATAAAAATTACTCAGCATATGAATGCTAAGATTAAAGATTTAGAGAACAATTAGGATCACACATACCCCTACATGTGAAGATGACTAATTCGTAGCAGTGACATTGAATGACAATATAAATTAAAATGGACATGTTAAAGGCCAATTTAAAATTTAACACCTGTTCATTGAAGCTCTATTTACAATAGCCCGGAGATGGAAACAACCTAAGTGCCCGTCGTCGGATGAATGGATAAAGAAGATGTGGCACATATATACAATGGAATATTACTCAGCCATAAAAAGAAACGAAATTGAGCTATTTGTAATGAGGTGGATAGACCTAGAGTCTGTCATACAGAGTGAAGTAAGTCAGAAAGAAAAAGATAAATACCATATGATAACACATATATATGGAATTTAAGAAAAAAAAATGTCATCAAGAACCTATGGGTAAGAAAGGAATAAAGACACAGACCTACTGGAGAACAGACTTGAGGATATGGGGAGGGGGAAGGGTGAGTTGTGACAGGGTGAGAGAGAGGCATGAACATACATACACTAACAAACGTAAGGTAGACAGCTAGTGGGAAGCAGCTGCATGGCACAGGGATACCGGCTCAGTGCTTTGTGACTGCCTGGAGGGGTGGGATAGGGAGGGTGGGAGGGAGGGAGACGCAAGAGGGAAGAGATATGGGAACATATGTATATGTATAACTGATTCACTTTGTTATAAAGCAGAAACTAACACACCATTGTAAAGCAATTATACCCCAATAAAGATGTTAAAAAATAAATAAATAAAATAAATAAAATAAAATAAAATTTAACACCTGGCAGGTAATAAGAGAAGGGAGTTCTATGGTGGCATCAGAAAGCCAATTACCAGTGAGTTTCAAAGACACTAAAAACATTCATTTGAAATTGGACGAGCAACACATGTAACTATTTCAAAATTCAAAGCAAAGTTATATCTAGATATTTATCTCAAATGAGGAGAAGAAAAATAAAGTTTATAAATGAGCACGTGTCATGAGTTTCAGAAGTAAATCATGGGCTTTCCTGGTGGCACAGTGGCTAAGAATCTGCCTGCCAATGCAGGGGACACAGGTTCGAGCCCTGGTCCAGGAAGATCCCACATGCCGCAGAACAACTAAGCCCATGTGCCACAAGTACTGAGCCTGTGCTGTAGAGCTTGTGAGCCACAACTACTGAGCCCACGTGCCACAACTACTGAAGCCCGCACACCTAGAGCCTGTGCTCCGCAACAAGAGAAGCCACTGCAATGAGAAGCCCGTGCCCCACAAGGAAGAGAAGCTCCGGCTCGCCGCAACTAGAGAAAGCCTGCTCAGCAACGAAGACCCAACGCAGCCAAAAATAAATAAATAAATAAAAATTTTTTTTTTTAAAGTAAATCACAACGGGTTGTGATTGTTTTCTTAAATTATAAGCTCTAACATGTTACTAATTTCCTTACAAATAAACTGTTCATTACATAAGTCATTACAAATAAACACGTATCAATTGTATAAATATATTTCACTAAAAATTAAAAGTATTGAGACTCTGGGAGGGCTTACGCCAAGGAGTACTTCCCATAACTTCTGTTGCCAGTGTCCTTGTCCCCACAGTGAGCCACAGCCCCCCTCCCCACCGCCTCTGCAGGAGACCCTCCAACACTAGCAGGAACAAAAGCCTTAAGCC